TACTGAGCATAATCGTGATTTTATGAGGGGTGCGATTCCAAAATCTGTGATCAAAACAGATACATGATATGACATTTGCTTTGTTTGAGTATGGCTCCAAATCTATTACTGGTTTAGCTTACACACATGAAAGGTGTCTTTCCATAACTTTCAGGAAATCATAGAGCATCAGGTCTGTGATTATTGACAGTTCTTTCATTCCATAGAATTTACACATTTATGTGTGTGTATATGTACACTATTGTGTGCAAAACCATGATATTACATATGAATTTCTACCATATCATTACACAATCACCTATAATACATGATTTTTTAAAATATTCTAGATTCTGTAACAGCATGAATACTTACCGACCTTATGAAGAGCTTCACTTGATGTCAGTCTGAGGAGGTGAATAAGGTAGAGAATGATGTATGGAGAGAAGAAGAAAGGAACTGAGTGACATTAAGGTAAAATCAGATGACATGCAGGCACTCAGATGGACAAATGGTGAGTTGGTGTCACTGACAGTGGGGGGTCTGAGATACTGATATCTTTTAGTCTGTATGTGCGCTTGCATCTTAAGCACCGTTCTGACTAGAGTCTTGGGTCTCGTTCAGACCCCAGCATCCACTGGAGCAGGACAAGGTGACAGGAGAAGTAATGAAGATGAATGTGTGTGTGTGTGTGTGTGTGTGTGTGTGTATTTCTGAGAAGGCTGCTTTTCTGCTCAGATTAAGATCAGGCTTGCTGATAAAAATGCCCGCCAGGCCACTCAGAAACCCAACACTCCTCTCTTCTCTTCTCTTTCCTCACCTCTCTTTATACCCCGTTTCCCCATTCCCTTCATCTCCATCCATTCCTCTTGTATGAGTACAGGAATGAGCTTTTGGTTTCTGTCTTCCTTTATAGTCTTTTCAATAGAAGTTCATTTAATTGCAAATATTTCCCTCACTTTTCTTTGTACAGTATGTTGTATTTGTGTGTGATAGAGCTGAAGGTCCGCTACAAAATATTGTTTGGGTAAAAATGACAAAAAAAATAGTACTGTAATGAAGAGTACTGTAGGGTTAGGGAGGTTTGAAATAACCATACTATATAAAATCCTAAAATAAAGTTATGAGAATAAAAAAAAAAAACATTTAAAATTTTGCACTATTTTTTGAGATCATAACAACAAATGGTCTCTAGCGACAAGCTAGACTGCTGTGTGACAACACAATTACAAACAGTCAGAATATATACTACTGTTTGTTTGGGGTCAGTAAGATTTTTTTTTAAAGAAATTAATAATTTACATCATAAACTGTTCAAAGGACACACTAAATGAATCAAAGACTTCAATTTAAAGATAGATGCTGTTCTTTTGAACTTTGTTCATCAAAGAATCCGGAATGAAACATATCACGGTTTTCACAAAAATATTAAGCAGCACAACTGTTTTCAACATTGATGTGTTAATAACAAATGCTTCTTGAGCACCAAATCAGCATATTAGAATGATTTCTGAAGGATCATGTGACACTGAAGACTAGAGAAATGGCTGCTGAAAATTCAGCTTTGCCATCACAGGAATAAATTACATTTTAAAATATTTTGATATAGAAAGTAGTTATTTTAAATTGTAATAACATTTCACAGTATTACTCTTTTTATTGTATATTTGTTTAAATAAATGCAGCCTTGGTGAGCATAAGAGAACACTAAAAATCTTACTGACCTGAAACATTTGACTGATAGTGTATTTGAGGTTTGATATGTGGCCATGGCCACCCAATGTGACATGTCAGCTACTATTATATTTCACACCAACATCTTCATCCATCCAGCTAATAAATTTCACCTCATCAGAAACCCTTCTTATTCATCATTTACATTAAAACCGTCTGTCATGCTTCACTATATTATTTTGTTAAATCCTGAGTTCTCTTTATCTGACAAGATATTTTCTGATGGATGAAGTGAATAGTAGAGTGCTGTATGAGATAATTCACTTGACCTTTTATTCAGTCTCGAAAAAAATCTCTTCTCAGAACTGAGGCTGCCGGCGCATGCAGTGCAAACCCAAAATGGGCTTCTCTGAACCAGGTTTCATAAATCACTGTATGAAACCTGGATCCTAATCAGGGTCATGCACCCTCTCACCCGCCAGCGGAATTAGGCAGACCCAAACAGCCCACTCAGCGGGGCCAGATCTGTGGCATTAGTCAGATACCATGCTGCCTATTTATTTGCTGGTGACATGTGGCTGCAGGCAACACTGATCCCTCTGTTTCTATATATCTCTATCAGCGCCCTGATCCTCTAGGGTCACATTAAGTGTGTTTAAGGCCACTGTTAAATGGCCTGAATTATCATACTGTAATGATTAGTAATAATGGCCCACATTCAAGGTAATCTGAGAACTGTACTGCAGCCTTATTGTGCACATGTGCTTCCCTATGAGATCATACTAGGAAACAATTAATGTTTGACAGATTACAATACTTTCACTTTTACAAAAGATTTTTTGGGCAAACAAACACACAAACAGTATGTAAACCAAACAGCAGAGTAATACAGTGCTCACAAAATGTTTTCATTTGCAAATATAATCGAGCTACAGCAGGTTTTTGCATTGAGCTACAGTCTTCATCTGTGTGTCAAAATATACATGACAATGCGTAATTGGATATTTGAATGATTAAATAGACGTTGTGCGTTACCTCTGTTTTTTGCAGCAAGTGCACAGCTCAGAGACCAGTTGTAGTCTGACTGACCTGTATAGATGCTGAATGAAGCCGAGCTACAGTCACATTATTTAGGTCAGTTAGTCCTATTTTGCAAAAAAAAAAAAAGGCCTGGTATGACTGACTCGACATAACATTTTAAAAAGACAAATTGCTGTTTCAGTTCCACTAAAATTAAACTTTCAAAGTGCACGTAAACTGACCAAAGATACACTATCAGAAATAAAGGTATGAAAGCTGTCACTGAGGCGGACCTTTTCAAAAGGTACACCTTTGCACCTAAAGAGTGGATATTGGCACCTTAAAGGTACATGTTAGTACCTATTGTACATATTAAATGGTACAAATGTGTACGTTTTGAAAAGGTACCACCCCAGTGACAGAGTGTACGGTCACATTAGCAAAATTTCGGGGAAATTTCGCAGATAAAAATAGATTGATGTCTGTTGTTGATATGTATGAAGCACAGGCACAGCTCACATAGAAGTCACTTTTAAACTATTCAGCTTTCTGTTGGTCAATGCGGCAAATTCGCTTGACTGTCTTGAACACAATGAGAAATCTGCGTGGGAAAATCTTTTTCCTTCAAGTGAAATTCCTGGTTGTGTAGATTCCTATTGAAGTGACTGGATTTCTGTACTGAACATTCACTGAACAACTGCAAATGTGACCGCAGTTTAGCAGCATTTCTGGTGCATAACAGGCTTTATACAGAAAATAAAGTGATTTATTGTCAATCAATTGTGTATTTCTTTTGATAAATGCCCTAAATCATAAATTGTTCTCAATAATGTGGGTCATTGAATGTTATCACGAAATTGACCATTGTAAAAACACATTTTTCCAATAAAAGCAGATCTTCTGAAAACATGTGCTGTACCTAATCAAGGAGAGAAGGACATGCTATGGTTAGAAAACAAACTAAAATCATAAGCAGACACAAGTCCCACTGTGACGGAGGCCTGTTCAAAGCTCCATCTGCCCTGTCATTAAACTAATCAGCTCATTATTGGACAGTTCAGGTTGGTCATTGGTCAGAAAGGGAGGCCCTTTTATTAAGCAGTGCTTACATCTGAGATCTCTCTTATGATACCCTAATGCAAACTCTGATTTAAACCAAGGGGTCGATTTCTGGCTGGTGGTTAGCATGACCCCTTTAAGGCAAAGCTGAATTTGCAGCAGCCATTTCTCCAGTCTTTAGTGTCACATGATCCTTCAGAAATCATCCTAAAAAAATGATTTGGTACTCAAGAAACATTTCTTATTATTATCAATGTTGAAAACAGTTTCATATATCTTAATTATCTCACTCAGTAGTAGGGCTGTGCGATTAATCGAAATCGAATCGAAATCGCGATTTGAGACGTTGCGATTTCCTATAGTAGATATTTTACCAGTGTTCAATCCTTTATAGATGACTTTAAAAAAAGATAAAGTGAACTTGTGCTGTCATGTCATCATTATCCTGCAGTTCCAGAACAATTAGTCACATGACATTTATAGTTAAGATAATTGGCTTAAAAAAAAAAAAACAATGGCAGAAGAGCATGCTGAAGAAAAGCAAAATAAAATGACTCTTTATGTCATAATTTATTTATATGAACTTCTGCTGAAAAAATAATAACAGTTAACAAGTACCACAGCACAGGAGAGCTAAAGAGAGCTTACACCTCTACCAGTCACAGCCAGTTAACACCTTTCTTCATGTTTACACAGGCAATGATCGCTCAACTGTTAGCTAATGTCCTTAGTGCATGCTCATTTATATTATTAATATTACCTCTGTAGCTTCCAGAGAAACTCTCTGTTAGGGCTCCATGTGGAGTAAGCATCCCACATAGCTGTCATCCGTTTTGTCCTCTTGAGCCCTTCTGACCAGCCTCATTCATTCTGTTATATTCAGTACCGATAGTCAGGGTAAAATACTGTCCAGTATGGGCACGTGATGTATGTTAAGCACACGGTTGTGTTTTCAATAACACGTGATGTACATATTCAGCTAATAGCCATGATAATATCTGATAGGCTCAGAGTCAGTTTAAAATGTTATTTTAAAAAGCAGCACACCTTTTGTCACAAAACAACACTCACAGAACCAAATTCTCACGTCAAAACGAAACAAAAAATACACCAACATGTTACAGCACAGGTTGTTCTTGAATTTTAAACCTTTACCGTCCTCTGATCAATTCAACAAAAGAGAGAGAGAGAGAGAGAGAGAGAGAGAGAAAGAAAAAAAAGAAAGAGAGATAAATCTGCCATATCGGGCAAAGTGTGCAAGGCGCTCATGAGAAATGTAGATTTCAGTTGTAGTGCTTTCACAAAATAAGTTCAAATAAAGCCATGCAACAAGGGATTGGGGGGCAGGGTAAAAAAATGCAAGGGATGGAGTTCATATCCCAGAATGCCGTGGACAAAATCCTGAGGAACGGGGGAAGTGGCCATGTCTCAGGTCTGGTCCAGCCATTCGGCACGTTTAGGAGCTTTGCAGGTGTGAATGTCGACAGCCTCCTCGCAGTCTTTGCACTCGACGGAGCAACACCACTTAAACTTACACTCGCACTTGGTGATGCGTTTTATGCGTGTGGTGTCATAGCCCCGCCCACAACACATGACCTCGCAGCCGTCGGTCCCCCGGGACATCTTGTTACAGACCCGACCAGCAGTACCCAATAAACCTAGAATGCAAAGAAGGAAAATGATTACTAGTTTTGCTCCAAGACCCAGATTTTACATTGGCCGTCAAGTGGTGGCCCACAATAGCCTATACTGTAAGAAATAAATCTGTAAAATAACCAAAAAAAAAGTACTGGCTGCTCATTGCCGGGACATTATCCATTAAGTGTGAAATTCAAAATACAGGAAAAACACCTGTAAAAAATGTATATGTTTTTACGTTGTTGTTGTTTTTTTTGTGTGTACCCCCCCAAAATAAAGCATTTTATAATGTATTAAGCCCACCACAAAAATAGTCATCAAATCATTTAATCATTAAATTAAATTCATTAAAAATGTAAATATAATTTCACTAAGATATATTTTAGAGTGTGAAATTATGTTTATATATATTTTTTATATATGCACCATGCTCTTTTATTATTAAAATCTTACAATAACGATATTCTTGCTAAAATAATTTTTTTATATATTATTATTCATTATAATGTCATTTGTTTATTCATATAAATTATATTAATATATTTCGTATGCATATCTGCTTTCCATTTCTACGTTTATATTTATGTTTATATTGGTATTTATAACCATGCTTCATTCTTTTTGACTACCACAAAACACAATTAAAAGGTTAATAACAAAAAAATGATTAAATCAATAGAAAAGATTCAAATGTGTAAATGCATATTTCTTGTGATTAATAAATTACCATAAAACCCTGATGTCCCAGATATGATACATAATTTTTTTTTTTTTTTTTTTACATATTTTGTCTAAAGGTTCATTAAACAGTTCAATAAAAAAAAGTGATTTCTCTGACTATGTTTAATATGTGAACAGATGAACTTAGATACTGTATACAGATGCAGAAATACAGACTTAGAAAAAAAGGTTCTTTATTTGGCATTGATGGATCCATGAAAAACCTTTCACATTCATGGAATATTTCCATTGTACAAAAATGTTCTTTATAGTGAGAAAAGGTTCAATAGATTGTTCTTAAAATGTTCTTACCACTAAGAAAAAATTGTTATTTTGAGAACGGTTCATTGAAAGGTTAATTGGGGAACCTAAAACGGTATCGCTCTGACAAAAAATTTCCTTTTTACTTCATTTTCTTTATTTTTAAGAATACTTGCTAACTTTCTTGTAACACAAAGTAACAAGGAAAGTAGGATCAGAATGGTGTTTTGGTGAGTCTGTATGTTGATTTTTCGCAAGGTTAAACACACAGTGGACAGTGATGGTCTCTCTCTTAAAAAAAATAATCTCTGCCTGCCCTGCGGCCATGAGAACCAGAGAGTGATGGTTGTGCTGGCAGCTTTGAAAGAATGGGATTTGAAAAATGAGCCTGTTGTATCCTTGGGGTGCAAATTCCACTGGGGTGGTGGGGTTGGTGGTGGTTAGGGGGTAAGCGCATTGACCCTCTGAAATCACTGAGCTGTGAGCTGTCTGTCTGACCCAAACACACACTCAAACCATCACACTGATGCATGAGCTGCAGTACTGATCTCAGAAAGCAGAGAAACACACTGTCCTAGCCAGGCAACGTGACACGTTTCCAGTAGGTATATGCTGTCTAAGCTATGAGTCGGCTAGTCAGTCTTAAGAATGTCCTGTATAATTATATAGTGTCCACATTTCTTATAGGGTGTTCACATGTGTTCTTGGGTTCAAAAACAGCTAAGCAGGACTGAATACAACAGAATGTATGACTGTATGAATACAACAGAATGTGTGCCACTCATGTATGAGTGGCACACCACCTAAAAACGTATCACTTTAGAGATAAAACAATCCATCTATATAAATTATAAATAATGTAATAATATTCATAATGTATTTTATATGTTAAATACAAATATTTTAAAAATCAGTCTATTTCTGACACATCACCAATTGAACATGGGATTTTAACAGGTATTCCAGATTATGTGTGTGTGTGTGTGTGAGAGCATCAAGGATTAACAGAGCAAAAAAAAATCCCATCCCACCTCTTCTGACCCTGTCAAAGCCTCTGTTGCCCTTTTTACCCTTAAGGTTTATGGTTAGGTTTAGGGCAGGGCAGGTGTGAGAGTCAGTTTACCTCAGTTACTGAATCCTATCTTTCTCTACACTATCGAGTCATGTAAAAGTGAACACAGCCTACCACTATGCATCTCAGGAGTGAGGATCCTCTAAGGAAAGTAAAAATTTAATTATATAATATATTGTTATTACATAAGGAATAAAATAATTATTATTAGTAATAAATAATTACTAATAAATTAAAACAATTAAAGTAATATAATTAATTAAAAGTTACATAAAAAATTTAAAGGGGTCATATGATGCGATTTCATTTTTTCCTTTAAATAATTACTAATAAATTAAAACAATTAAAGTAATATAATTAATTAAAAGTTACATAAAAAATTTAACTATTTTCCCCCTAATTCATGCTGCCTATGTAGGCACTAGGCAGGTTTTGGAACTGAGCTTGTAACACTCTGTTAGTGCCTTGCAAGCAGTGATAATTCCTTCAGGAAACTAATACTTAGTTACTTTGTGTTTTTTGCACTTTTTCTCCTTTTTTACCTGCAGCTTTGTCCATGACGCAGTAATCAGGTGAGTTTTCGAAGTACACCAGGTCATTTTTTGTGGCTTTCCTGAAGTCTTTATTGGCTACTGTGAATCCTGTCCCATCTTGGTTCATGGTGACCTCGATGGCTCCGTTGTATTTCTTGCGAAGGTAGTCTCCCGTTTTACGGAAGTCCGACATTGCCAACCAGCAGGTTCTCAGAGTGCACGACCCACTGACTCCATGACATTTACACTCCAGCTTCATAAACCGCTTTACAGCCTATAAAACATAAACAAACAAAAAAAAAACATCCCTAGTAGTAATTATATAAACAGATTCCACGTGGCTATAACAGAGCAAAAAAAAAATCCCATCCCACCTCTTCTGACCCTTTCAAAGCCTCTGTTGCCCTTTTTACCCTTAATGTTTATGGTTAGGTTTAGGGCAGGGCAGGTGTGAGAGTCAGTTTACCTCAGTTACTGAATCCTATCTTTCTCTACACTATCGAGTCATGTAAAAGTGAACACAGCCTACCACTATGCATCTCAGGAGTGAGGATCCTCTAAGGAAAGTAACAGGTGACTGAGCCTATTAGTCTTGAAAAATTAAGTACTTTATAGTCTCTCATAAACAGGATATTTCAAGGAATTGATACTATATTCTGGCTTTTCACTCATCAGACAGGCTGAGCACATCCTTTGTTCTGACGTCTGGTATGATCTAACTCTTAATTCTGAGAAATCCTTGAAACCCAAGTTTGACATTAATTTTGTTAATACTGAGTGAGTGAGTCAGCAGCAGCAGAGTTAACTATTTGTGTCATTAGTAATGCATGAGTCACAATAGTCTAATGCTACTTGCATTATTACTAAATGAGTTTACGCTGCTTGAAAGGCATTGCTGTGCTGATATTCTTCAAACATTTAGGCTTAGTTTATTCTAAACTCTTAAACTCTATTTATTAAACAACTGGACAATTAATTGAACCTGAACAGCTTAACCGTCAGACTTTGTGCTGTAGATCATGTCAGTGGTCATGATGCGTGGTATCTTTGATTCATTTGTAAACATTGTGCTTTTTAAGAAATATAAGAGAAAAAAAAACATTTGCTATTTAATGCATGTATTCTTTGTGGTACAGGCATAACCAGAAGCAATCTGTAAAAATGAAAAAAAGGCTCCGTTGTATTTCTTGCGAAGGTAGTCTCCCGTTTTACGGAAGTCCGACATTGCCAACCAGCAGGTTCTCAGAGTGCACGACCCACTGACTCCATGACATTTACACTCCAGCTTCATAAAGCGCTTTACAGCCTGTAAAACAGAGAAACCAAGAAAACATCCCTATGAACAGATTCCACTCGGCCAAGAATAGCTGCAGAATGTAAACAGAGTTTTACAGGAACGTTATCGTAGAACAAAGTCAATGTTTCAGTATTTACATGCCAAAATGCTGAGCTGTTTAGTTGTAATAGGTGTTTCATTTCGTAAGGTTTCTCCACCACAGAGGTAGAGTTATATTACCTTGAATGTATATAACCTTACCATTCTCCCACAGCGGTTGTTATGAAGGTTCATGAGTGCTCGTGCGTCTTTCACAGTTCGCTCTTTTGCGTCTATGAAAGCTTTGGCGAACTTTATCCCATAGTTGATGTTATCACTGCAGCCACCCCAGTCAAACTCTCCTCGTTCGTCACTTGCCCGGCCGTGCTTGTGGGGGTCACAGTTACATATCTTTAGCTCCCCCTGACTGCAGGCGCGGGTAATGGCGAAAACCACTCCCGCTGAGGAGATTGCATATACGAACGCCGCCTCACGACTGCCTGCGAAGACAAGAATCATGAAGCCACAGCAAACACATTCAGGTCCTTTATCAGACACTGACAAACACTTCATTACACCCTCCGCTGTCATATAATCCCAAACAGCACTTCTGATTTGTCTGCTCGAGACCTGCCCATAGAAGCATGACTAGCCCCAGTGTGAGTGTTTTGTTTAAATATTAGTACAGGCCTAATCCCTCCAGGGTGGGCCATTCTCTGCTAGGATAAATAGTTTGAAGGCTAGCAGTCTGATAGTGAACTGCCACAGTTATTTTCTAAACTTAACCTGCTATTTCTAAGCATCCTGCATGTTTGGACTCACATCAGTCACACTGATTCCTTTAGCCTGACTGAATATAAGAAAAAAATCTAAATCCTCAATTCCTCTGTAAAATAATAGATAATAGATACTCCTTGTAATTGTCAAAATTTGTGATTGAACCATATATATATATATATATATATGAGAAATTCATATTTTTATTTAGCAAGGATGCATTAACTTGACAATAAACACATCTAAAATGTTACAAACATTTTCATTTTAAATAAATGCTGTTCTTTTGAACTTTCTATTCAACAAGATGTACTGAAAAATAATAGTAAGCAACTGTTTTTAACATTGCTAATAATATAAAATGTTTCTTGAGCACCAAATCAGCATTTTAGAATGATTTCTGAAGGATCATGTGACACTGAAGACTGGAGTAATGACTGCTGAATATGGAGTTTGCATCACAGGAATAAATTATGTTTTAGCATATATTAAAATAGAAAACTATTTCAACATTTAATAATATTCCACAGTGCTGTTTCTGCTTTTGAACTGTAGTGTTACATTTCTTGCATTTTTGTGACAGGTAAGATGTTCCTATTACAGTAAAATGTGTTCTTATTATAACATTAAATTAATATTATATGGCATTACTAAAGGACATACTAATAGATTTAGGTTAGATTTTTAAAGCCAATATCTTTTAAATTACTTGAGAGACATTAAGAATGCCATTTTTAAAACTTTAAATGTATCTGCTAAATGTGGAGTACACTAGCATTTAAATAACCTTGATGTTATCTATATTCTAGTGTATATAAATAACTTCCACCGACTTAAAATATTGTTTTAATGGAGTCTTTTATTTTAGGACCCCCTGCCCAAATCTCAGTGTAACGTTATCCTTCTCACGCTGTTCTGAAGTCGTTTTCAGTTTCCTGTTGCAGTTCAAATGTGTTTCAATGATCTGTGCTCATGTAGTACAATGACGTCTGGCGGACATCTATGTTTGAATCGGTCCATCATTCATACAGATATATATTCTCTGAAGAAAAATAGATTTTTTTTAATAGTACAGGTGCTGTTTATAGGAGAATCCTCTCTTGGCAGCCTTTCCAATTCTAATTCCATTTCATAAACTGAATACGCGCAGTGCTGCAAGAGTCTGTCCGGCTGCCAGAATCATCTCTCCAAACATTTACATCCACTATGCCTGTTTATGTGGTGAAGAGGCATAGAGAATGCTGGAGGGGTGATATTTTCACACAGGCATCTTTGGAACGCTGTATGAAAGCCAAACAGAAAGCACATTTATAGTGCGCATTTCTTGAGTAAACTTCAGGTTCAGACTGAATTAAATGATCCTGTGGGGTTTTGTCTGTTTATCACGCCTGGCCAGGGATTTGTGTGAATGTGGCTGAATTTTCCTGTGAGATCCGAGGCGTTTCATTAATATCCCACAGAGATAAACAGAAATGGATGTGTCCAAGAGAGCAACTGTTTAAAATATCATTATTCTATTCTAATCCATATTGATTTACCGTGGTGACATTACAGTATGATGATCTAGGTATTTACCATATGAGAATGAATGTGTATCTGACTGGGTGAAAGCACACACACACACACTACTGGACAAAAATTTTTTATATAAATAATTAAAATTAAATTTTTAATTGTTTTGGAAAAAGTGTCCTATGTGCACCAAGGCTGCATTTATTCTATCAAAAATACAGTAAAAGTAGTAATATTGTGAAATATATTTAAAATTTTAATTTCTTGTCATGATGGTAAAGCTGAACTTTCAGCAGTCATTCAGAAATATGCAGATTTTTCAGCTCAAAAAACTGTTTCTTATTATTATCAATATTGAAAATGTTTTGCTTCTTAATATTTTTGTAGAAACCATGAAATGTTACTGTTCAAAAGTTTGAGGTATAATATATATTATAATACTTTTATTCAGCAAGGACAAATGTAATTGACCAAAAGTGTAAAATATTAGAATTATTTCTGAAGGATCATGTGACAATGAAGAGTGGAGTTATTTTAAATTGTAATAATATTTCACAATATTACTGTTTTTACTGTATTTTTTTTTTTATCAAATAAATGCTTAAAATACTCAAAAATTATCTTTAAAAAATCATAATTATTTATTTGACTGCTTTTGCTTCCAAAACACACACTGACACATTTCTAGTACTCACTGCGCTGTATGACTCTCCCAAAAACGGTATGGTCTCTGTCCAGTGTGCTGCAGTTCCAGCGGTGATGACGGAATTGATGCTGGCACTCTCGAATCCACTCTTTAGCCCCGCCCCCAATCGACTGCATGATGTCGGGATACTTCTGACACAACTGCCTCTGTTTATTCACCAGCCCGGGAATATTGTCACAGATCACACGGGCACCAAGGGCTCCAATATACCTGAAAAACAGACACAAACACAGAGGCTTAAAACCTGAATTGCTCCAATCTATCACAGCAGTTTTTGACAGTTGGTTTTTGTGAGCAAATATCATTCCAAAAGTGCTGAATCAGTAAACATTCAGTGATTACACATTGTCTAATGCCAAAGAATCTGATGATTGAGTCTGATCATTCCCAGAATCTTACCACTCATTAGTGGAATTTCAGAGGGAAGTTGGACAAACTGACATTTGTCATAAACATGACATTCACAAACCAACAATTATTTATGATTTATTTGAAGGCAATTGCATAATAAGTGTAACATCATCAGATTTGGAATACATTTTTGAACCCTAGATGATAACCTTAGTTTTTTAGACTATCTGATGTCATATTTGGTTCTACTTAATCCAATCAGCCAATCAGAACAGAAGGAAATTTCATGAATTATGATGCATTCTATCTCTCTTTTACTCTCTGTATACTCACATTCTGATGTTTCAATCCATCACTGTTCAATATTTATTTGTTTAACGGCAACAGAAACTGGCACAAAATCTCTCTCGTTCTCATACACACCCAAAACCGTATCACATCAAGCCTGATCTCAGCCTTCACACAAACACACACTCGCTCATGTCAGACAAAAGCAGGATTTAGTTCCAAATATTTTAGTCTGCTAAAATGAGCATTTCTAATGACAAATGAAGGTTTTACCTTTTGAAAAAATCTTTGTGAATGCTCATCAACCTTTTTATTATGACTGTGTTCCTCCCACTCCGATGCCTCATTTGACTGTGATTATAGGGCTTTATCGTCCCCTGTGCTTTGTGTTCGATAGAGTTTGGAAACACTCACTCACACACACACACACCGACAAACTGTGGTGGTTTGCAAGTTGGCTTTACCAGCAGCAGTAAATCATTATCCACAGGACCACAACCACATGCTGTAAAAACACAGTAAAATCTGCTCTCATTTACACTGCATGTCTCTGTGTGTGTAGATAGGCTTAACTGCGTAAAGAATGTCCGACTGTAGTAATTTGTTGCTTCTACTACCCAAATAAAGGGTGAAAATTCCTCTCCTCCCTATTTCTCTCCATCTCTCTGTATCTTCCCATCTTTGTCTTTTTCATTATTGGTCTAATCACATTTTCTCCTTTATATAGATTAGACAGAAAAGCAAGTTAGGGAAAACAATTCTCAGGCCCTTGATGGGAGATCAAAATTAGTATTAACATAATTTTTTATACTTTTCATCTGAATCAGAGCCCTACGGTTTCCAGGCGTCTGCTGTTCTGGATGGATCATTTGGGAACTGTTGGAACTTACATGTGCCATAATATTGCAATCTTTATGTATGCAGATTGCAATATGGTTGGACCATTACAAAACTAGCTTGTGCGTCATTCAGAATTGAACTAAGAAATTAAAGAAATTCATATGACTGTAGTTTTGAACTAGAAATGCAAAGTTTGTCAGGACATGTTGACCTTGTTTTAAAAGGGTTAAAGGTCTTACAGAGCAATAAATAGATTCCAATAGGAATTCCAATTCAACATCCTGTGGGGTGTGTCCAATTTTCAGTTCTGAATTTTGTCCAACCCTGGAACAAAAGGTCAAAGATGAAGTTCACTTCAAAGGACACACACCCACCTTTCTATTTGTGTGGAAGTCCAGGGCAGGCTTACATCTGGCTTCATCTGTGTGTGTGTCTGTGAAATAAGTTCACTAGTATGAGACGCTAACAGGCCGCCCAGTAGCTTAAGAGGATTCCTGCTCTGTCTGCTTAAAGTGATGGATGAGCAGATCAGAGAGAGAGAGAAAGAGGGAGCAAGAGATCCCTTTCTCTCTGGCTCTGGTGAGTGCCTCACGTTGGGAATGTCAGCCTGACTTATTACACCTCAATAGTGACAAAGGACTTGCTTTCCTCTTTCTTAGTTCCATGCACATCAAGCTTAACATTTAACTGATTTCTGAGCTGTTAGTAATAACTGTAACCCCTGATACAGTTGTTGAGGGTCCAGTAATGAACGTATATGATCTTCAACAGAGATCACTGTAGTACATGCATGTTTTATTCTTGGTACAATGAGCAAAAACATTAAATTAACTTTTGTCTTCTTAGTCACACACACAACCATATGCACACATATTCTGTGTATACACAAAGCCCAACCATTCCCCAACTACATTTATATGTGAGAAATGGGCATGTGGCTGGTTTCTTCATGATTGTTCAGGCTCATTGCACTGTAGTCACCAGCTAAGTGTGTGTGCATAGGTATCTAAGCAGGAGGCCTGACACATATTGCAGTTATTTCATTTATTCCTCTGTTATTGGCAGGCACCACACCTCAAGCACACCATGAAAACCCGACCCATAACTGTGATATAATGATGTGCAGGGCCTGTTACTATACATAAGCACAAGCTCTGGGGAAAACCCCATCCCTCATGAGACTTTTTTGAGGGGGAGAAGCCTGTGATTTGTGTGTTTCTAGAATAACTGTGCTTTAAATGCCAATATCTTGGTGGGGAGAGCGGTGAAGCTGCGTTCCTGCACCAAGCGCGAAGTGTGTGTTCATTTTAGTACTTGAGTCGACTGCCATCTCCCGACCTCTGTCTGCCCACCACCAGGGTGCGAATTATGGGGAGTTTGGGGGGTCTGAGACCCATAATTATGATTCTAACCTCCCCAAAGGAAATAAAAACATAAGGTTGGGGGTCTCAAAACTATGTATTCGTTCACATATAAGTATAGGTCTATACATATTTCAACAGCGTTTTCAAACAAAAAAACAGTGTTTTAGTAACCACAAAAGTTAGATTACAAGTTATTCAGACCGCGCTAAACAGACGCTCGCGAACAGCGCGCTTTCGCCTGAGAAGATAACCACAGCAACAGCTATATCAGTATATGTTTTATCCGTTTATTATATTTACATAGGATGAGTAAATAACATTAATAAAGTTTCGTTATTAATTTAAAATAGTCGATGTTTAGCAATCGGTATTATGGGCACCAAGACATATTCGGCTGCGCGAAACGAACATCAACAAATTTCGCCCTGACAAATTACTAACAGAAATTGCTTTTTAAAAAGTCAAACACCCTGAAACCAGCCCTACACTTTAAATTACAATTAAAACGCAGATATTATTGAAAACATTACTCCACGGTTTTTAAACCTCTGTTTTTCATTAACCTCTCCTCCGTGTGTTTTAAGAGTAGACTATAAATACAGTACTGTACACAATAAATACCTCACTTAAACGCAAACCACTGTTATTATAAAACTGAACTGCCACTTATAAAAACTAGAACAATGTAGGCTACCTAATAATAAACATTTGCAGATGTTCAGTCTCCCAACTGACAGCAGCTCAGTCACCGTGAGCTGAGGGGAAAAAACCCACCCGGCTTCTGCGCGCTAGTGTGCGCCGGCGGCGGCGGCGGCGCGCGGGGATGCTGGACGCTACTCACCACCAGGACGAGTCCACGCGCGGTGTGAGGATGAGCAGGAGAAACAGGAGAGCGCAACACAACCGCGAGGACGCACGGGGACCGTAGGATGAGCCTGCGCTGTTTCTGATTATATGTCTTAATCCTGAGTCTCCGGGAACAGCAGTAGATCTGTTGAGAATCCGGGGCGACCCAAAAACTTTACCACAGCCAAACATAGTTGAGCGTGTCCTCCAGCGGTGATAAGAAAACACGATTCTGTATTGTAGGAAACCGGTGTAAAGACCGCTTAGGTCTGCGGGGACCTGCTAGAGTTGGGATTGCTGATAGCTGGACGGATGTAGAGCTCCGTGCGGACGATGCACGGACGGATATCATGTATCTGCCCGGATATTAGCGTGTGCCATATAAAAGTATTCCCCGAAATCTGGCAACCGCAGCAGAAATAATCCAAGCCAGACGGCAGGTTCAGAGTGCGCTTTCTTTTCTTTTTTCACCTCCTCTTGAGAACAGATGAAGTCTCGGTGAGGTGCAATTTGATCAGAAAGAGTGCCAACTTTTCCACTTTTCTCCCCACGTTTTGCGTTCAGGCAGGGCTGTGAAACACGCGCCTCTTCGTTTTTCCATTGGAGTCTGCGAGCGCTGATAGCAGACTGCGCGAGATAAACCGGGGCGATGAACTGTGCGAACTGCAGAACGAAGGGGTGGGCGACGGGGGGAGAGAGAGAGGGGCGATAGGAATGTTGACAGCCCGCCGTCTCTCCACTCTTATTGGGCAGAGCTCTCAGAGACCGGAGCCCCGGGGAAGCTTGAGCTCGCGCCACACTCCTTTCAACCGCTGAACGACACGCAGCATCCTCATTTAGGCTACACACCATTCTGGAGTTCACGCTCACAATTTCACAAACACAGCAAAATATTCATGATGTGAGGGAAAATGAGACACAATTTTAACACAATTTTAAAATGTATTTTTTTTTAATCGTTGTCATAATAATAATAATAATAATAAATAAGCGGTTCAAATAGTTCATTGTATCATTACAGCCAATAACCGTGGTACTTAAATTAAGGCATAAACTTAAATGTTTAATTTTGGCGAATTAAAACGTTACAGTGTGGATTTTAGGGATGCCGTATAGTGACAAATATTCATTAATCAATTATCAAATATCCAATGATTGAAACAATTATTTATAAAGTAAGATAAGCTACGCATATATAAGATGTTTTTCTTAGTATATTTTTCTCGTATGATACTATGCAATTGCAAAACCCATAAAATGATCGGTGCATCTAAAAATAAAATACTTATTACAATCATATTTTAATGCACTCGAGCATGCAGCATTCGCACTGATTGAAGCCGCAATTGCTAAGCCTTTATCATTTGGAGAGATGCGCGTGTCTGAATACACAAGCTTGTGTTTACAGATAAGGCTCTAGAGCTTGCACGAGTGCTGCTGTGTATAAACATCGTGCGGAATCCAGTTTCAAAACATCACATACAGTATATTTGCCTGTTGCATGACTCTCTGGATAAGTGAAACCATTCTCTTCATTAATGCAACATGCAGGAGATATAATCTGTTATAATTATCACGGCATCCCATGGCTGCAGCTGCACTGCTCCTGTATAGACAAGATAGACAATTTAAAGCACACAATATAAAGCAAATACACCGTTTCAACAGTAGCAACTTCAGCTCCAGATGAGAGATCTGCAACACCCAAGACTGTAACACTTCACTGAGCACTTGAAAGTGAACTGACGCAGAAATAGGCCCAAATCCCTGTTGGAATTGAAACTATTAGAGTTAACTGCACTTTCCACCAAGGATTAAATGAGCAATTATAATGTTTAGTTGTAAATCCTAAATTAGGCTAATCTTATAGTCCTGAAATTTTCATTTGTGCTTAAACTTTAGCCTTAGACGCTTTTGTCCACCTAAAGCTGGCATGGCTTATAGTCTGTGAAACAGAGAGGCCTATCCATGGAGGAGAACATGTCAGTTCAGATGGTGATTCTATTGTGTAAAAATAGAGAGAGAGAGAGAGAGAGAGAGAGAGAGAGAGAGAGAGGAATTTGCCAGCCTGTTCCAGTAATTTTTAGTACAGAAATATGTAATTTGAAGTTATACATTCTTACTGAAGCAATTTGCTTCATATTATTAGACAGAACAAGGCCTTTTGGGAGTTTTCAAAGTGAGAGACTATACTCTAATAAAATAATTCAATATGTTTGATATACAGATTTCTGGTTGAGTACACCTGATAACACCAAAGGCTTTTCCAGCATCTTCTGCATAGTTGACCTCTTTCCAACAGTGGCTGCATAATTTTGAGATCCATCTTTTCACACTGAGGACAACTGAGGGACTCATACGCAACTATTACAAAAGATGAAAACATTTACTAATGCTCAAAAGAAGGCAACATTATGCATTAAGAGGTGGGGACACGGTGTAAAAAATTGTTTAATTATTAACATCTTGCATATTCTGCAAGGGGTATATTAACTCATGAGTATAACTATAAACTGCATTTCACATAACTCTTGTACAAGTATTCATGCGAACATACACTAACATTCACAAGTTTGGGGTTTGTACAATTTTTTTTATGTTTTTGAAAGAAGACCTTTGATCAAGTTAATGCATCTTTGTCAAGTAATAATAATAATAATAAAAAAAATCTTACTGACCCTAAAATTTAAAAAAGGTAGTGTACGTATATACAAATACATACATACATAAATTAGAGCAATTCAAATTAACAAGCACATTACTGTGATACTGAACATTGATGTTTGGCTGCATGCAGAATGTCATAACTCCATGTATGAGATTAGCTCACAATCACACTGTGTGTGTGTGTGTGTGTGTGTGTGTGTGTGTGTGTATGTGTGTGTGTGTGTGTGTGTCTTTCTGACTGCTCTATAATAGACAGAACGCACACTCAAGGTGACCACAGGGTACAGGAACACCTGAGAGAATGAGCTCACAGTTTATTTCTGTACCTGCATGTGTGAATCTTAACCTGTGTTTGTGTGACAGGTCTTAACTCTTCAGTGTCGTCAGGTTTGGCTCTGTTTCAGGAATGAGGGCACTGTGAGTGTCCTCCCGGCTGCCTGCTCAGAAGTCCACCGCTGGCTATTTTAGAAAGGGGCTCAGGGAAACACTCACCTGATTATAAAACCTCTTCCAACTGTTTGAGTTCAACTAATTCTGTCCAATAATACATTTAATTTTGTACTGCTCAGTATTTCCTGAAAATTGTTGCAGAGTTTGTAAATTCTGATCTAAGCTTGTGTGAAAGTGCATGTATGTAAAGTGTATGTTATGAACACTTGTTCTACCCTTGTTTAGCTTATTAAATGGCACTTTCCTACAATTTGGTGTCACCTACACTCTCAGAAAAAAAGGTACAAAATTGTCACTGGTTTGGTACCCTTTGAAAAGCTAATATGTACTTATAAAGTATAACTTTAAGCTACTAATAAATGTGAATGTGATACAGTAAAAGTAAATGTGATAGCGTTTTTTTTTCTGACAATGTACTTAGCCTTCCAGACTGAATCCAACCATTAAAATCAAACAACAATGTAGCTGTTTTGACAACAATCACTCTGTTTTATTGATATTGACATAACTGTAACAAAAATGAAGGTTATTCAACTACAAACTAAAATTACACCTCTTTCATTTCTATTCATAAAAAAAATCAAACACAAATAAAGGTTTTGACCTGTATTTAGTCAAGTCTATAAGGTTCTAAAACTACAACTCCCATATAAAATATATGAATAATAAAATAGCACTTATAATATTTAGTTATTTAGACCTCCTGAGGTTGATGACACTGATCATTTGTTAAAAATGAAAAAAAGTATAGATTTTAATTTTTTCTGGCCCTGTTTTGTACTCTGTGGAAAATATCAAATATGTTGACTAATTTGGTACTTATAAATTTCCAATATTAGTAATCTACTCACATTTAACACATTGTACCATTACCATTTAGCATTTAAATCCATTCTACAGAATTCTAGTCAAGTCAAGTCACCTTTATTTATATAGCGCTTTTAACAATATTTCTACAGATTTTAAAGATTTTTCTTACAAAATCAGCACACACAATGTTACAAAAAATAAGCAGATTCCTTCTGTGCCTCGTTCTATTGTATTGTATCACATGAGGCTGCTGATGTTGAAAGTTATACCGCTGAAGTTTTATAGTTCTGTACATTGTTCAAAGAAAAAAAGCCTCTGTCATTCTGTGGGAATATGAACCCATCAGCACAGTTTTTAAAACTAATGCTGATAAAGCAAAAGACTCATAGTCATGAGAACATAAGAAAATTCTGCAGTATCAATACTGCATAAATATCCACATAAACATAAAATAACACACCATTTTGATGTATCTCCACAATTTTAATGTTTTTGATAATCATTTAACTAGTTAAAACATCTTGGTCTTCTGACCTAAGTAATCTAAAATCAGACCAGTGTGACCAGTGCAGCGAATGAGCAGAACACAAGTGACAATTAACATTAATGAGCATTACTCTAAAATGAAGTAAAGGTCAATAAGAATAAAGCAACTAAATATACCTCCACTGGAAAGAGAGAAAGAAAAAAGAGAGAGACTGCACCATGCTGTCATCTGTCTCAGACTTTACACTAATTTATGGTCTTGTATTTTTGGATGTTCTGACAGCATGAAGGAATCTATTCACATTCAGACACTCTGATGTGACTCTCTGAATCTGAATCTCTTTCCAGCTACTGTGCACACATACATACACTCTCTCACCCAAATACACTTGTTACGTATCATTCAGTTACATAAGTGATTATATAAATATCCGATATAGAATTTATTGTGGTTTTTGAATAAATATGTTGTAAGTTAGCCTTGTTTACTGGGTTATTTAATTGATTTAAAGCCATTTACACTGCAAGTTAATAGTACATTAGAGATATCTTACCACAATTTTATATAGGCTATATTTAGACTGTAGATTTCGTATAATTTACTATCAGCTTATAGTGATGTAAAACAAATAAGTAAGTGTTTAACTTTTTCCTAAGTGATTTCAGTTGTTTCAATAATTTTGGAGACTGTGTATCTGTGTCAGACAGGATACAGCTCAGCATTGGGAACCGCAGATGAGGAAATGATGCAGGAGAGACTCTCTGTCTCTTTCTCTTTCCCCATCTGTCTCTGAGTCATGCAGTGAGGGTCACATGTCATGACGCATCACCATTTCAGCATTATCTGTCCGCTGCTACTTTCTGACCTTAAACTAGCTGCTGCAAAAAATGTGACCAAAATTTACATCACACACACACACACACACACACAGGATCTGACTAGGCAGGAGAACACACAGCCTAAACTAAGTTCACATCTCCAGACTGGGCCCCTCACTGTCTGCATCACTGTCTGTCTGCTGAGAGGAGAACAGAGGAATATAGAGGGAGTGTCAATGTTTTATATTGGACCTCCTCTCCTCTCCTCCTCTGTGGTTAATATGGGGAAATCTCTCTCTCTCTGGCACGACGCCATCCTGCTCAACCAGATTAATGTGTTTATAACGAATTCAGCGATTTCAGTAAACAAGCCCTGGCGCAACCTCTCTCACTCTCTG